TATTATAAACGATCCCTATTCTGCCATGGGAAAACTGAGGCTTAAAGAAATCAAATATGCTGGTGACTTGGAGTAGAGCTAGGTCACACCTGAGGTCAGTTTGTGCTGGTGGTTGTGGTGTTGAGTGTGTGGTGTGTGTGCATTTATGTAGTGTGTGTATGTGGAGTGATGTCTGATGGAGCAGGTGTTTGTAGGAGGTGAGAGTGTGGCCCTAGAAAAATACTAAGCCCCCAAAACATGCCTTTAGAACTATGAGCAGGTTGCATAAGGCTGAAATCTTTGGCTACAGGGAGCAGTGGTGGTCGTCAGATGTGCTGTGGGAGGGGGACTGGCTTGGAAGATGGCACTGCAGTGGGGGCCCACCTCAACTGCTTCCCATCCCACAGCAGGTTTCCACCAAGGTGCCTAAGAGAGGAGACTTGGATGGTAGGCAGGGGCTAGATCTTAAAGGACCACATATGGGCCCTGAGCCGTGGGTGATGGGGAGCCAGAGTTTGGAGCAGGAAGATGGCCTCACCTTGTGTGTTAGAGCACCAAGCTTGACGAAGAGGAGACCGCAGGCAGAAGGCAGAGGGTGCTGTTCCACTCAACACCATGTCTGTGCCAGCCCCTGGGGACCTTTGTAGACCTGGGGCAGAGTTGAACTTGTTGGGCCAAGGTTGCTACTGTGTAGTTTCTGGACTGGGAAGTGAATTTCCATCAGAGCCCAATCCCTCAGGGCAGGGAAGGGGCCGGCTGGGGTGTAACTGGGGTCTTAGGCTTCAGGAGGACCCACTATAGGTCATCCACTTTTGTTTTTTTTATTAAGGTATCATTGATATACACTCTTATGAAGGTTTCACATGAAAAAAAATATGGTTACTACATTTATACGTATCATCAAGTTGCCCCCAAACCCCACTGAAGTCACTGTCCATCAGTGTAGTAAGATTAGGCCACCCCATGTTGAGAAAAGCTGGCTCCACCAAAAAGAAATCTGTGGGTATGGGTTGAAAGGAAGGCAGAGGGACAAAAGATGCTTTCCGCTTCCGCCCAGGGAGGAATTCTAAACATGTCAACCCTGCTCGCCTTATGAGAGCTGCATTTTTTTCACCCTTCAGCTTTCCAACACCCCTGATGATTATGCACCTGGAGGAGTGTTAGCCAGGAAGAGAGCAGCTCTGACTGTCCTAGGAAGTTCTGGAAAACAGGTCCCCTCTCAGGCAGTGAGGTGCCACCCAGCTAGCAAGGGAGGAGTAGGGAGAGGACGGGAGAGAACGTTCCTGGGTTGGACTGCTTTGCGTGAGCTCTGCGGGCAGCCCCTTGAGCTCTATGGCTCCAGAGAGGTAGGTGCTTCAGGGATCCAGTCTGTGAAATGGACTCTTACTGGTGCCCACTTACATGGGTGATAGAGGGAATTAGACAGGTTCCATGTTTAGAGGGCTTCTTAGCAGAGTGCCTGGAACAGAGGAAAGCCTAACAGTTGATACTGTTTTATGAAAAACATCCTTGCCATCCATCTGTTGGGCACTCTGTCTGTCTGGGTAAGTGGTAGGGCTAATTTTGGCCACCATGTTTCCCTCATCCTAGCCACAGTCATTTAACAACATTTACTGGGTGCCTCCTTGGGGCAGAGCTAAAGATCCAGGGATGAGCCAGTCAGGCTGGACTCTGGGGACAGTAAGCCATTACAGTAGGCCCTAGCCCCTCCTGTCCAGAGGCCTAACCCATCCTGGGGTAAGATTGGGGTCAGGGGGGCAGGAATGTCTTCCAGAGGAGGCACCTGAGGTTGGGTGTCAGCCAGGCATAGGGGTCAGGGTGATCTGGGCAGAGAACCCAGTTTTTGCAAAGACTTGGAGTACCTCAGAGGTCTTTTCCAGGAATCCCAGGGTCTCCCCGGGTTTCAGGAGGACAGATTCTATTTCCATGTCAGAGGCCTCTCCTGCCACCTCCCTCTGGATTGATGTGGCCACAGAGTGTGGCTTAAATGGTGGAAGCTGAGCAAGATGGATTGTTTCTCTCACATCCTGGGGAAGGGCTACCGGATAGCCCCTGCTGACCCTGGGTCACTCACGCCGCCTCTGTCCAGTGGGCCAGGGAGAAAATCATTAATGGGAGACTGGCTTCTGGGGCAGGGCAGCTCCCCTGAGGGACCCAGGATGAGGAGATTGGTTTGACCTTTGGTCAATAAGGTCTCCTGTGAGCAGGAGGAGAGTTGGAGGATGGGGGGAAGGCTGCAGGTCCACCCTTGGGGGAGGGGACAGGGCAGGACCTTGGGAAATCATTCCAGGAAGGTCGCGGGCAGGAGGTCTTGATGACATTTACCCACCAGGTGTGGACCTCAGGGGGCACCAGAGTTCTACCCTCCCTGAGCACCAGGATGTGAAATGAGGTGGGGCCCAGGTATGAGATGCTGGCTGTGAAAGGTGATGGGGGCTGGCCATCAAGGGCAGAAGTGATGGCTGTGCACACTTGGTGGGTCTGTGACCAGGCCCTGAGCCCCAAGGCTGTGTGGCCCAGGGCAACCGGTTTAACTTATTCTGAGTCTTGGTATCTACATCTGTTAAACGGGGGTGATAAGCATTCCCTGGTTGCAAGGTTGTCGGGACAATCAGAAACAGTATCTTCTAAAACTGTCATCTGTGCCATCAAAGTACCTTGTCTGTAGGGAAAGGGGAGTGTGATCCACTTGTGTCCCCAGAGATGCTTCTGTTTGTAGGGGTTCCCTGTGAGCCTCTTAAAGGGCTCCCTTATATTCTCTCAGTAGTTCTGCCTACTGGGTATTTATTCTGTGCCAGGCGCTGTTCTAAGACTTTATAGCTTTAGTCACAGCAGCCCATGAGATAGGTGCGATTATCATCAATCTCTTACATAGGTGAGGAAACTGAACCACAGAGATGTTAGTAACTTGTGTGGGGTCCCTTCGCTAGGGAGTGGCATGCCCTGGTCTTTGAATACAGGTCCTGCTTCTGATGGCATGGGTTGGGCAAGTGGGGCTCAGCAAGGTGGGGCTGGAAGCAGAGTTTTGGAACCATAGGTCTGGGGCTAACTGCCGTTGCCTGCTCTGTGATCTTCAGCTTCAGGGCCTCAGTTTCCTTAACTGTAATGTGGGCTAAGGTGTCCACCCTGAGGATGAGAGTGAAGGTTGAATACTGTGGTCCAGCTGAGGTGCTGTGGGACCCAGGCTGGGGTGGGGAGACATGTGCAGGTGAGCCTGGGGACAGAGACCCTGGGCTGAGCTGGGCTGGAGTGTAGCAATAAGGGAAACATTGTCTCTGCCCTTGGGAGCTCACAGTTGAGGGGTGAGCCAGATCCTTGGACAGGCGCAGTCCAAAGAGGTCTGCCGTGGGCTGAGTGGGGTCATGCTCTTGTGGGGATAGGTCCTGAATGTCAGACCTTTTGGGCACATGGGACAAACCCACAGCACTATCTGGGCTTCAAGAATTGTTCAGCTTTATGGTTAAGATGGGGCAGGACGGACACACAACTAGCAGGGCATAGGAAGACCTAATTTAATGCTAAGCGGAATGACAAGACTTCAGATCTTTTCAATGTTCACTTGTTCACTCATTCATTCCTTCAGCAAATGTTTGAATTTCTACTGTGCTATGTGCTGAGGATATAGGAGCAAACAAGAAAGAGACAGCTCCAGCATCATGGCGCTGTCAGTCCAGTTGTGGGGAAAAAGACAAAAACTGGATAAGTAGATGTTATGTCTGGTTGATAAATGTTAGAAAGAAAAACAAAGCATGGATGGAGAGAAAAACAAAAACAAAGATGGAGAATAACAGAGATGGGGGGCTGCCTCAGGAAAACAGTCAAGGAAAGTGTATCTCAGAATATGACACTGGAGTAGAAAACTGAATGAAGTAGAGAAGCCAGAATGTAAAAATCTGGGGAAGAGCATTGAAGCAGAGGAAAGAGCAAGTGCAAAGGCCCTCAGGCAGCTGTACATTTTGTGTTTGGAATGCTCAGAGGCACAATAAAGCAGCCAGTGTAACCCAGTGGGGAGGAGGAGTGGTAGGAGATGAAGGTGGAAAGATAGTGGGGGACTCATCCCACAGGGCCTTGAGGCCATGGTGGGGAACTTTATCTAAACATAGTGGGAAGCCCAGAGAGTGTGGAGGGGAGGATTACCCAAGGTGGTTGGGTTTGATGGAAGACAGACTACTGGGTGGCAAGAGTGGAAGTGGATGCTGCTGAGGAGGTGAGTGCAAATTGTCCAGGTGAGAGGCCATGCTCAGGGAAGGGAGACCAGAGAGACAGCGTGCTGCCATAGCCAGAGGTGTCTTACTGGAGTATGTCATCAGAAATGAACTGAACCTCCAGGGATACAGGGAATTTCCATGGGAGATGCAATGTGAAGTCTTCTCCAAGAGAGGCCGGGGACATGAGGATGCCTGGAGCAAGATGAGCAAGATGAGGATTCCTGGAGAGGAGAGCCCCCAGCACTGGCTCCTAGGGAGAAGTGGCAGTGGATTGTGGCCATTCCTCCCCAGGATGACACTCACCAGGTCTCCCTCCTTCCTCACCATGCACCCAGATGTCAGTTCTATCCCCCCATCCCTCTGCCATCTCCATATTGATTTTGGTACTTTTCTTCCCACTTGCTCACCTCATCCTTACAGCCACCCTGGGAAGTAGTCAGAGCAGGGGTTCCGCTCTACCATTTTGCTGGGAAGGGATCTGAAGCAGAACAAACCATGTACCCAAGGTCACATATGAAACCTCTACTCTATACCTCTTACTTTAATTTGGAGCTGTGGTGGAAAAGTAGTAAGCTCTACTGTCAAATAGATGTAATCCTGATTCTGGCTGGGCCAACTGGGCGACTTGCCTCCCTTCTCTGAGCCTCAGTTATCTCATCTGTGAAATGGGGGTGGTAACAGGGTGGTTATGAGCGTGTGCCAAGACCTGGCCCAGAGCCAGCACAGCCCTGGCTCTTTGTTGGATTATGGTTCCTGTGTGCAGGGAACCCAGGACTTCCAAGGTGGCTCACTGATGCCCCCTTCCCTGCCCAGGTGCTGGTGGCCGAGGAGAACGTGGACTTCCGCATCCACGTGGAGAACCAGACGCGGGCTCGGGACGATGTGAGCCGTAAGCAGCTGCGGCTGTACCAGCTCTACAGCCGGACTAGTGGGAAGCACATCCAGGTCCTGGGCCGCAGGATCAGTGCCCGTGGCGAGGATGGGGACAAGTATGGTAGGTGCCAACCTCTTCTACCATGTGCATACTCTTCCTGGCCTCCTCAGGTTCAAATCCCAGCTCTGCCATGTCCTGGCTCTGAGACCTTGCACCTGGCACTGGGCCTCAGTTTCCTCATCTGTAAAATGGGGATGTTATAGTGCATCATCCCCTGGAGTCTTGTTGGGAGTGCTAACTGAGGATGTGAATAAACAGTGCTTTTGCTGGTAAATGCCCATAAATGCCAGTCATCACGGGTATTAGTGCTTTGCCTGGTGATGGCTTAGAGCAGGTGGCTGCTCCCTGTGGCCCTTCTCCACCAGCCCCAGGTTTAGACACTCAGCAGCACACTTTTTGCATGCTCCTGTCCGGGTGCTGGAAACCAACCTGGTGGGAGTGTGTGTGCTCGCAAGTCCGTGTGTGGGAATACACGTGCATGTGCGCATGGATGCACGTATGTATGTGTGCACTGTGAGCTTGAGCTTGTGTACTTGTGAGGCAAGGGTGCTCACAGCACCTTGGGCCACGGTTCCCTTGACCTGCCCTTGACCCTAGAACTGCCCAGCCCTCGTCTGTGGTGTTCAGGAAACTTCACCCATCTCATGTAGTCTCTGAAAGGGGGCTGGGAAGAGTGAGACAGCCTGATTCCCTTCCCTCTGCAAGCCCCCAGCCCAAAAAGACCCCTGGCAGTGAGTGAAACAGACAGGACTCCAGCTTCCCAGAGCTTGGAGGGGATTGGGGGCAGGTGCTGAGCAAATAGGGACCCTGCTCCCACTGGTTCCTGCTTTCTCAGGTGCCCCAGGCCAAGGTGCAGGGCTGGGACTGGGGTCCTGCTTGTGCGCTGTGGGCCTGCCAGCCTAGGCTTATCTGGGATGATGCCCTGCCGGCCCGCCGGCCCCTGCCCATTGCAGTCAAGACGTGACAACAAGACAAATAATTTCTTGGACCTTTTATCTTGGACACCATTTATTTTCCCTCAGCCCCGGGGCAGGGCTGACCTCATGGTAGGGCCCAAGTGTGGCAGCTGCGCTGTCACTGGGGGCTGGGCCAGGCCAGGCTGGGCAGGGCCTGGCCAGGCTGGGCTCCTGTCTCCAGGCCAGCTGCCTCCCCTCCCTTCTCCCTGCCCCATCACTCTTTACTGCCCCCATTCCCCTCCCTCCCTCTTTCCCCTTCGTCCTTTTTCAGTCCTGCTGCTTCTGCTTTTATCTGGGCCTCTCTCTGAGTCCCTCTCTCCTCCTTCCTGGTTCTCATCTCTTCCCCCCCTTGTGTCTGTCACCTCTCGGTTCCCCCTCATCCCACCACCTCTGTCCTTGCCCCTGCCTCCCTCCCTAGGACCATGGCTTTCCCATCCCTCCTCCCCACCTCTCCCAGGTCCTCTGCTGGCCTCCTCTCTAGGGCCTCTGTCTCTCCTGCCCCCCTTCCACGGATGCCTGGCTGTGCCGGGCAGACCCAGGTGGTGGTTTTCCCTGGGATCTGCTGTCCAGTTGCTGCCAAGGAAGGGGCAGCTGGCTGGCCGGGGCAGGAGGGAGGTGCCCTCCTGGGGAGTCCCCGGAGCTCTCGCTGGCCCCTCCAGGCTGCAAGAGTACAGGGGGGTCAGACTCTGGTCTGAACCATCTGTCCGCATCCTGAGACAGGAGGCAAGAGCTTGGGAGGGAGAGGAGCCCGGGAATGGCCAGCCCCTCACCCCAGAAGTCACTTGCCCTCTCATTTTCTCTGCCTGAACTGGAGAACCAGGGAATCTCACCTGCTGTCGACTACAGGCAAGCCCTTTGCCTTCTCTGGGTCTGCTTCCCTTCTGTACAATACAAGAGTTGGACTAGAGTAGTGCTTCTTAAACATAAATGTGCATATGAATGACCAAGGGCTCCTGTTAAAATGTGGATATTGATTCAGTGGGTCTAGCGTAGGGCCTGAGCTCTGCATTTCTCACGAGCACCCGGTAATGCTTGCTGATGGGCCATACTTTGAGTATCCAGGGAGTATCCCATCTCAGCTTCTCCAATTTCACAAACTCTAGATTTAATAATTCTCTCTCAAGTAATATGTTTATCACTCTTTCAGTCCCCCCAAACCCAGGGCAGTGTGGTGCATTGCTGGCTGCTGAGGCTGCTCCATTTAAATGTCACATTAGAAATGCAGATGAGGCAAAGAGACCTCATCTGTGAGCCCTGAGAGAGGAAGTGAGACAATGGAGCCACCTGAGGCTTCCAATCTAGATAATCAATACAAATAGTATTGGGAGGGTGATTTATGTGGCCAAGCTCAGCCAGGAGGATCAGGCTGCATTTAGGGCCTGCCCTGCATGTGGGGGAAGGGTGGCCAGGAGTCCCCGGTCAGGCCAGGGGACCCAGGGCTGTCCAAGAACCTGCACCCTTCTTCTCAGGGCTTGGCCAGCTGAAAGAATGATGCGATCTGGGACCTGCGTTCGCATATAGATGATTGCAGTCTGCGAATTTCACACAGTCTAGGTATAAACAGAATCCGTCCCTATAAATGCCTGGAGTCTGGAATCCCCACAAACACGCAAAGTCTCAGGTTCAGTGGCATTCAGAGGTGCTAGACTGTGGATGGGCCAAGGAGCAGGCCCATGTTTGTGTGGGTGCCCTGCTGAGGAGCCCTTGGCTGGCTTTCCAGCAGTGAGCAGCCTTTGGTGCAACCTACACAGATGTTAGGGGGCTTCCCCACCATGTTGTTCTGCAGGAGGGTCTCCATGTGGTCCCCTAAAGCTTTCCCAGGGCACTCTGGGAGGCCCCTGAGGGTGGGCTGGTCCAGGGACAAGAGGCTTTCTTAGCTTTGGGTTGGACTCTGGAGGGAGAGGTATGCAAGCCAGGGACTGGAGGCTTAGGTAGTGGGACATCTGGCAGGCTGGGTACTTGGAGAAGGGCCACCCTGCCCACATGGAGTTATTATATCAGCCCCTCCTCTTCCTGCCCTTGGTGCTGGTCACTTCTGTCCTGCAGGCAGTTGCCACCTTGAAGAAAAAGCACTGGACCACAAGGCAGAACACCTGGGTTCCAGTTAGGGCTCTGCAGCTGAGTAGCTTGTAGAGCTTGGGGCAAGCGTGTCTTGCCCTAGGCTCAGTTTCTTCCTGGGCCAAGCGCGGTGGAGAAAGCCCACTCCACCTGCCTCAGGAGGCTGCTGCTCATAAGGAAGCCTGGATGTGGAGGTGTCAGCTCCTCCTGGCTGCAGGTGGCAGGACTTCTAGGAAAGAAGAGCCTGGGAGTGGTAGGGCCTCAGCTTTGTGATGGTGGTGTGGGGCAGCGCTGCTTTTATAAGCCTTATGATTGGATATTCCTGCCTGCTTTCATTTAAAAAAAGGCTTCTCTGCTTGAGGAGAAAAAATGATAAAAACCCCTCACATAACGTTTTGCAGTACACCAGTCTCCTAGGACTGATGGTGCCTGGAACAGCCCCCAAGCAGGCCACTGGAGGGGCTGTGGTAGCTAGAGGGGTGGTCTTTAGAGGGGCTGAGCATGTAGGCTCTGGAGTCTGACAGGATTTGAATCTCTGCTTCACTGCTTAGGAGTTGGAGACCTTGGCTCCGTTTACCCTTCTGTGAAATGCTGTCATTGAAATGAGAGACTATCTTATGCCCAAAGATGATGTGATTATTATAGCAAGAATATGAGTAATAACACCTGAACTCATTGCTGTTGTGTAGGGATAGGGAGGTGTCCCCTCTCAGGAACTGGTTCCTGGGGCTTCCAGAAGGGACCCTGCCTCTCTCCCATCAGTGGGGCTCTGGCTTGGCAGCTGCAGATAGAAAAGGCTTCTTCAACAGGATTCCAAGCAGCAGGGCTGGCCTGGCCACAGGCTGGCTGCTGTCTGGCTGGATGAGGAGGGGTCTTAGGACCTTATTGGCTAGTCTGGTCCCCCAGTTCATGCTGGAGTCCCTCACTCACTGGCGCAGAATTACTGAGCCCCAGGAAGACAGTGGTAAGACACACCTGGTTCCAGCCTTCAAGGAGCTCCCAGGCCAGAGACCCTGCTCTTGTCTAGGGGCTACTCTGAGTAGGAGGAGCTTAGGCCCCTAACTTCCTGTGTGACCTTGGCCCTTCCCATTCCTCCTGGTTTCCTCACTGTTAGTGGGGATCGAGTGTAGCGTGGAGTTATGCCACCAGCTGCTTCTGTGTGGATTCATCTGGGATCCCAGCTGCGCTGCCACTTCCCAGGGGTCACAGAGAGCCGGCGTGGCCCAGCACTGGCCCTGCTCGGCTGGGCAGCCTTCCTGAGCTCCCTTGCTCTAAGATCCCTAAGAATGTGAGCTCCTTGAAGGCAGTGATTTTTCTGCATGTCCTCATGTCCAGTTCAAAGCCTAGCAGAAAGCAGGCTGCACTTAAAGGTTACTGGTCGAATGAATAAAATAATTATGGGGCAACTGAGAGCACGATCAGGCGGCTCCCACAGCAAGGTGTGTGAGGTGCTCCAGGGCTGAGCTGGTGACAAGAACGGGCCAGGTCCTCCAGTCCCCATTTCTCTCAATCTCGTACCTGCTTGAGGGCTGTGTTTGAGCAAGGAGCAAGGTCTTTTGGGCTGGCCTGTATGGCTGAAGCAACAGAGAACAGCCCGCTGTCTGAGTCTGGTGCCCTATTCTCCATATCGCAGTCCAAAATGGAAGACTGCGTTACTCTGCTCTCAAAGGTGCTCATGGCACTTAGAATGGAATCCAAGTTCTTAGGGCAGCAGGAAGGCCCAGCATGGCTTGGTTCCTGACTACTGGTCCAGCCTCAGGCTGCACTGCCTCATCCTTGCCCATTTTGTGCCTGCCGCAGGGGCCTTGCTGCCACCACTTAACACACTGGGCATGCTTGCAGAAGCTAAGCCCTTCACATGGGCCGTCCCTTCAACCTGAGCATGCCGCTCTCCCAGGTCTCCCCATACGGCTTCCTCCCGCGCTTCACTCAGGCCTCTGTCAATTGCCCCTTTATTGGAGAGCTCCCATTTCTGTCCCTAGTGGGCATTTTATTATGCATTTAGGTATTTGCTCTCTGTCTCTCCTGTTAAAATGGAAACTCCTT